TGGTCCTATCACTGCATTTTTAAGGACCAGTTACCTTTGACCTGAAACAAGGAACTTACCGTCTAAGCTTCCATGATTTGTGCAGACACACACCTCTCAGATTCAACTCTGAGATTTTCGGTTTTAAACAATTGTACTTCCCATAAATGAAGATGCTGTCGAGCAGCAGCATCCTCGAGGATCACCTGCTTAGTCTAGACCCTTAAGGTGTAGAAACAAGTGACAGCCCTGGATGTCACAAAAGCTAACTTTAAAAAATGCACTGGTTTTTAAGAAGGAGGGAATTGTTTAGAAATTATAAATATTAGCAGAAATATTTATTTCAAACACCAGAGTATAAACGTAAGTTTCGGTACTTCAAGGAAGATGCAAACTTGTAAAATGCAATAATTAAACATATATCTTCCCTCTAATTATTAGCAGATAATAAAAATAAGCTGTCAAAAAACAGCCACTGTCCTTTCTAGCAAAATATCTTGCAGTTTTAGATTTATAATTTTACTTCCATGGAGAACCAACATCAATACACACCATCGCTGGACTCAATGCAGGTTTTGTTTGATTCTCCTATCATTGTGTGTTCTGAGGTATGTACCAGGTGGCAGCCACACCCCCCACAATGTGCTCAGGGGCACCCTGGCCCCACAGAAGCCTCTAGTGCAGTCTGCAAGAGGGCACCCGGGCCTACCAGTCCCTCCCTCTTAGCCCCCACAGTCATTTGGTCCTCAGGACATCTCTGTCCATCTCGGAAGCAAGTAGGCATAAAGCAGCTTTAGATGGTGAACTTTCTCAGAGCAGGTAGCATCTGTGAGGAGCTAAGATCATCTCCAAACTAAGTACAAGTCTGCTTTCATCCTCAGGGCAACATGGCAATAAGAAAGGTCTGAGACAATTTCCTATAACTGCCCAAAGCCAGAAACCCCACAGAGAAGCTTCTATCAAGTTTGATAAATCTATATATATAACAATAAGATTAATTCAGATATCCATTTGGGGGGAACCAGTTAGGTAAGTTATTGGTAAACCCACTGTGACAAGTTTTTTTGATTTGTCAATCTGACTAGGCCACGGTTCCATTATTAAACACTGAGCTGGGTGTAAATGTGAAGGCATTTTGCGGGTGTGATTGGAGCCCATCAGTCAATAATAAGAGTAAAGAAGCACCCTGGATAATCCAGGTAGGCCTGATTCAGTTAAAAGGCCTGAAAATCTGAAACTTCCCTATAAAACACAGGAATCCCACTCATAGCAGCAGCTTCAACTACATCTGTGGTGCTCACCCTGCACCCTTTGCTTCCTGTCTGAGCCCATGAATCCCACCTGCCCATCAGGTTCTTCTGCTCCCCTGCCAGCCCAGCCCAGTGGATTTCAGACTGGCTTAGCCAGTATGCACAGTCACGAAAGCCAAATCCTTGTAACAAATGGACACATACATTTACATATACATCATACTGTTTCTAATGGTTCTGCCTCTCGGGGCTCCCCTTGCGGCTCAGCTGGTAAAGAATCTGCCTGCAATGTAGGAGATCTGGGTTCGATCCCTGGGTTTGGGAAGATGCCCTGGAGAAGGGAGAGGCTACCCACTCCAGTATTCCGGCCTGGAGAATTCCACGGACTGTATAGTCCATGAGGTCATAAAGAGTCGGACACAACTGAGCGACTTTGACTTTCTCGGGCTGCAGCCTGACTGACACACTCAGAAACTGGAAGGGGATGCTGCTGCGACAAGCAACGAAGTACGTAGTTCAGGTACTCTCAAGACCTCAGTGAAAGCAAGGTAACAGTAAGGAGAGTGAAAAGGTATAAACCTTAATCTCTGTGTTATAAGCAAGCAGCTTAGCTTGATACAAATAAGCTAGATTTTTTCCATTCTTAAAACCTCACTAAAACAAATACAGTAAAAAGATTCCTTTAAAAAAAAAATCCAAAAATACAGGGAGAGCAGAGAGGCATGTAACCACAAAATCATTTTAGAAGCTGAGAAGCAGATGGACTAGTGGAAAATTATTTAGTAGACCTGAGCCAAATCCTAAGACAACAGAGGAAAAAGCAACTGTGGCATTACTTCAGAACTTGGGGTGGAGAGGATGGCTTAAAGATGTAATTCAGGAAAGCCCATGAGAAACAGATTTCTGAAGTCCAAGCTACAGGGTTAATGCATTTCCCTGAACTCAGCAGAAGCCAGGAGGCTTTTCAGCCTGGAGAATACTGAGAGGATTCCTGGACTAGGTTTCACCAGGCACAGATCAGAGAACTGGTACCGTTCTGAAGAGAGAGGGATTAAGGGACTGCACGCAGCCATACTGATACTGAGTCACCTTCCTCTGCAGAAAGAATTCAGATCAGGGGTTAACCCTCTCTCCTCACAAGCAGCACAAGCAGCAGGAGATCCATCAAAAGAGAAAAGAGTCAGAGAAATCAAAAGAACTCCCACGAAACTCTCAGGAAAGCGGAGGAGGTCCCAGGATGAGGGCTCACACCAGACAGAGAGAGTAAAAAGTCTGGTCTGGAGCAGGGACTCAAGACAGAAATGTCCAGAGTTATTAGCACCAGGGCCTCTGGCTCTCCTCTTAATGAAGAGAACATTAAGGTGATCCTGGCCCCATTCTCATTTGCAAGGAGACCAAACCAGTCAATCCTAAAGGAAATCAGTCCTGAATATTCATTAGAAGGACTGATGCTGAAGCTCCAATACTTTGGCCACCAGATGCAGAGAACTGATTCATTGGAAAAGACCCTGATGCTGGGAAAGATTGAAGGCAGGAGGAGGGATGACAGAAGATGAGATCGTTGGATGGCATCACCGACTCGATGGACATGAGTGAGCAAGCTTCGGAAGTTGGTGACGGACAGGGACGCCTGGCGTGCTGCATTCCATGGGGTCGCAAAGAGTTGGACATAACTGAGCAACTGAACTGAACTGAACTGGTCCCATTCTCACCTCTCTTAGGCTTGATCGACATGAGCTGACGTCCTTCCCACTCCTCAGATCAGCAGAAGTTAGCATTTACTCCCCTGGAGGGCTCAGCTTTGGCTTACCACTGAAATCAAGAGGATGGTCGCAGTGAGCATGGAACTGCAGTCAGCAGCTCCAGCCCTCTGACCGTACTCCTGCCAGACCACGAGGACTCGGTTTGTGCACAGTACGGTCACACACTCCAAGCATGGTGGCCCCAGTGTCCCCAGGACCCTTTCAAGTCCCTGCTCACTGATTTTCCCAAGAGGAATGGCACTTCAAAATCCCCAGGGAAGCTTAGAGTTCCCCCTGACCCGGAGGTCACACTGCTTTTCCAGCCAACGTCATCCAACAGCAGCAGAGCTGCCCTCTGCTCTCATAGCTCAGTGGGTGCTTGAAGCCTGGTGTCTTCAAAACCGCACACAATATTGTTTCAAAACACCTCCACCGGAGGGTGAAAACAGAAAAGCGAGGGAAGCGTTAAACCAGAAGTCAGCCCAGCACTCCCTCTGGGACAGGGAGAATTCAGGTGTGCTGGGCATTAAGCGGGCTTTCACAGCAGTGGCGTTCTGTTTCTTAGAGACAGACGCGCATCTATTATTTTTTAGACCATATGTTTACACTGCAGATGCCCTCCTGTATGTATGACACATTTCATGGTTGAAAAAAGACAAAAGCTATAAACTCACAATAGCAAGGAGAACTGAAGGCAAGACCATCAAGAGTCTGGAGACTACACTCCAGAAAGGCATGCGCACACAAGAGAGTCTGCATGATTGAATATAAGGTCCAGGAAACCCACAGAGAGAAGCGCAGCTGAAGGGGCAGAGGATAAGGCATGGCTGGCTGTGCAGGGCGGGGCCTCGGAGCCCCGTCCTCAAAGAAAAGATTGTCGTCCCACACCAACTGTTTCCCCACTGTGAGTTCTGCTTGCTCTGTGCCCCACCTGCAACTCCTTATATTTCTTTCTGTCTTTGGCAGTTGTGACCCATGTGGCCCTCTGCACTGTCAGCCCCAGGAAGTGGGGTGCTGGGGGCAGGGGTTGGCAGCAGCTCAGGTTTCCCAGTCCTAAATTCCAGTTGTCCCACCCCTTCGGTCAGCCTCAGAGCCTCGCTCCAGCTGAAGAGGCCCAGGACTTTGGCCCAGGACTCTGGGTCCCGATTCCTTCAGGTTCTGCTCCTGCATGTGAGGCATCAGAGACTCCTCCAGCCTCCAAAAGTCAAGTGTCTCAAGGTTCCCAGAGCTGGGGTTTTGCTCAACCTCCCCAGGGCTAGGAGGGAAGTCCCGCTCCCTACTTATAACTCAGATGTCAGCACGGGATGGGGCCTCAGAGATTGTCTTGTCTGCCCTGTCTTTGGAGGCCCACGCGAGATGTGTCCAAGGTCTCGAGGCTGCAGCTAAGTCAGTTCTGCTTTCCAGAAGGCTAAGGCTGTGTTATGCAGACGCCACCTGGGGGCAGAGGCTGTGCACTTCCACCCCCTGCCTGGGCTCTGCATGGGTTACAGACGAGCACTGGTCCCCGCTCCTGGCCTTCCAGCCACCCTGGAATGGGCTTTTGGGCCCAAACAATCTGCCCAGGAGAGTCGAGGGTGGTCTCACACTGCAGTCCCTGGGCCAGGCTGGGTCTTCTTCACCCCCGGGGCGCAGTCTGGGCCTCGCCCCCTGGTAGACATAGACAGGGACCCGGCTGAGATCACGAGAGGATCCTGGTGTCCTTCAAGCCCCTTTGCTTTTCGCGGCCCAGCCAAAACCTGCAGATCGAACATGAGCCCCCAGGGCAGCACTGGAATCTTAACACACATGAGCTGCCTGGTTACAGCCAGCGCCCGCACTCTGCTGGACAGATGGATACATGGGAGGCAAGGAGGGAGTCGGAGGGGCTGACACTGCAGGTGAGAGGGGTGCCCGATCATCGCGAGAGCTGGAGGGAACCTCACAGGGCGGCCAGCTCCAGCCACGTGGCGCAGCGGGGGACGCCTGTCTCAAACGTAGGAACGAAGAGCTGAGGAGGCGGGGGAGAGGTGGAAAACACACGAAACACAGGTGTCTTCACAACGAGTTACAGAAATTGACCTTTATTTATTGTACTAAAGTCTGTTTAACTTTTGATACAAAGGAAGGTTTTAGTACAGAAAACCCCAGTCTGTCCGAACAGTACCCGTGCACACTGTACCATCTCTGTGCCAACCCCGGCCGCCCAGAGCAGTGGCCCCGCGGGTGCCAGCAAAACCCCAAGACGGCCTGCGGTTGGTCCTAGCTGTCTGAGCCAGAACGCGTGTACCTGTGAAACGAAGGGCAGCACTGAGACTGAAACGTGTCTCCTTGTGAACAACTGTGCAAGAAAATATATCCCTTTTTAAAAAAATGTCAGTATGGCTAAACTATAATCTAGTGTCTAGAATTACAAAGAATAAAATGAAATCAGCGATTTCTTCCTAGTAAAATGAAATGTTAGGAACAGTATTAAAATAGAGGTCCTACCCCAGTGACACTTACCCGGAGCCCCGTACAGTACCTATTATTAACAGGACGCACAGTTTAAGGAGGAATCACATCAAATCTTCAGCCAAAAACACCTGGCATCAGATGCGTTAAAAAACAAAACAAAACAAAACAAAGACATCCTCGTGGAGCTCTGCTCATGTTGTGAGAGCTGAAGCCAAGACTAGATAGATCCCAGTTTCTCTTTCTTGAATTTTAACAGTGACCACATTGATCCTTAAGCTTCCGTAAGAGCTCTCTATTCAGAGTCTGAAATACAAATTGTTTTTAGATCAAACAGAGCTGATGTGCCTGCCCCATTGTAAAGCATTTGGGAATTACTCTGCAAAATCTGCACTGGTAAAGGCTGTCACTATTCACAGAACCTAAGGAGGACCCAGTGGCACGTCTCAGCCCCAGCCTGACACCCTGCCCAGAATTGGTTGTGTCACAGGGAACCCATGAAGCTCTGAGGATCAGAGAGAACGCTGGAATCATGAACACAGGTGGATGAGAAGCAAGAGGTGGCAGAATGCAGGAGACGACGTCTGAGGGATGCGCCTACAAGACGGCGGAAGTTGCCTTCCTAGGTGCAGGAGGAGAACACGCGGCCCCACAAAGGCACTAGCTCCGCCCGCACACACCAACGGTCAAAGCAGCCGCAGTCACAGGGGCCTTCCAGGAGAGGGGCCGCCGAGGAGCAGGGCATTCATCAGAGCTCTGGTGCCCCTGACAAGAGCCTGCCAGAGCAAAGCGGCCCCTAGAGTGGTTCCAGAGGCGTTTCGCTGAAAGCGGGCAGAAAACCAACATGAAAGCCACAGTGAGGAGGAGGGCGGGGCTGGGCAGCGGCAATGTGGAGCCGTTCAAGTAAACATCAGCAACAGAATACTTAGAAAAGGCTTGTAAACTTGTGATCTGAAGGGTTATCTTTGCAGCATCTCTGTTGAGCTGGCTACAAGGAAGGTTGGTGTCGAGTCCCTCACCCCACAGTCTCTGTCCCAAAGCACACACATGTGGGAGAAGCATAGTCCGCTGGCCGGGGTCCGGATCCCGTCTGTCTGTGGCCTTCCGTCTACAGAGGAGGTGCTTCTGGAGCCCCGGTTCACAGACCCCTCCCCTTCATGTTTACACACAGAGGTGTCTATCCATAGTCACTGCAAAGAGCTGCGCCAGGCGGTGGGGCTGGAGGCCAAGCTACAGTCGTCCCCAGCGCTGTGCTCTAGAGAGGGCAGGCTGGGATCCATAGGACTTTATTTTGCTCTTGATTGACCACGGCCAAGATCTGAGTGCAAATGCTCGACAGGGCTCCTCCCTGGACGACCCCTGCAAGACAGCCCCCAAACACACACGTCATTGGTTCGGAGGAAGACGCCCAGGAGGAGGCAAGTAAACAGATCTTTCACTCTTCCTGCTGCTCTGCCCATTTTCAGCTACTTGGCTCAACTGCTCTAACCCTGCCTTACTTCTCTTCCATCAGCAAGAAATTGGAAAAGGAAAAGAGTTGAGTGCAAATCACTTCGGCTTTTTATCTATCCCTCTCGGCAACTGTTTGCACGATGTTAAAACCTGGGGCTCACACGAAGGCTGGTGTCTGATTTTGCCAGGCTGCCCTGATCCCTGTAACCGGGGTGACAGGATGTGACTATGCACATGATTTGCCAGGCCCCACAGCAGTGATGACCCGGGCTGGCGTGCCTCGTCATGCAACGGGGAGTCCCAGCATACTGGAAAGCAGTCTGGGGTATGTTGTGATGGTCCAATCAGCAGCAGGATGCTAGAGGGAACAAGGCTGGGTCTCAAGAGCTGGGCACCCCGTGGCCCAAAGAAGACTCTCGGCTCAGGCCTGCTGCCCGGCAGGGTTTCATCACCACGGCCCAGCAGACACTGGAGGAGGGCTCTGTGCATGCTCCATGGAGCAGTGCCATGCCCTGGCTGCTTGCCACAGATACTGACAGTGAGCGTTTAGTAACTGCTACAACAATGTGACGGAGTAATTTCACATCTGCTAAATCTGATAAAAAGTCAAAGTCTGTATGTCGTTAAGTTTTGAAGTTTTAAATTTTCCTTTCTCTAGTAAATTGCCAAAGTATTTAACTGAAATATCGGTCTGTAATGGATTTGAAATTAAAACACACACATACACACAGAAGAGCTGGGGCTGGGTTCTGAGACCAAATATTGCATGAGAAGCACCAATCATAACACTCTATACAAGTTAAATTAAAATCAGTCTCCACCTCTCTTGACCACAATGTTGTTTGTTAGGCCCCCTACAAATGATTTCATGGGAGAAGTTGGAAGCCACCAAGTACTACAGCAACTGCTACATTAGAGTTTCTTTTAGTTTGCCTTGTTTCAAAGACGAGACAGTAATGGTGCAGTTTGTCTTCAAACTCCACTGCAAAACTGGCCTACCCTGGAGGGTGCTGGGGACGGATGGTCACAGCTACCACCGCTGTGCCACCTGCCTGGGGGGGTGCTGGAGCTGTGCCACGCAGCGCCTGTGCAGCCACAACTCAAGACCAGATTGTGACCCGAGGCCAGAACCAGTGAACTTTACCTTTGGACCGGCAAGTCCCCGATGCCGCCCTGTGCCTGCAATGAGATCATCTGTAATCAAAGTGCTCACTGCAGTGGCATCACCAGGCACCCCGGAAGTGCGGGCTCTAACCACTTCTAAGAAGGGCATCCTTGGGAAGGCTGTGTCCGTCCTTGCCACCCGCTCCTCTCTGGGCCTGACGCACACCTACCTGTGAAGTACCGGCTGTATTCCTGTTCAATCTTCTGAGCCGTCTCAAACTGCTCTTTGGAATGCCTCTGAGTCACCTTGTCCTTCAGGTAGGTGGGGTCTCTCTGCTCCCTATCGGGACATCCAGGAACCTGGATGAGCCTTCCCACCTTCCTCATGCCCTCCTCTCAGCCTCTCTGTCCAGAGTAACAGGGCTACCCCCCCACCGCACGTGCACCCCTGGTGGAGCACAGCGCAGCCTGCTGGCCCCACAGGGAGCTCTGGGCAGAGACGGGGAAGAGGCCAGATGCCCCAGCTGGCCCCCGAGTGCAGGCACCAAAAGATGGGGAGCACCAAAAGGCAGAGGCGGGGGGCGGAGGCTTGACAAGTCATTAGCCTAACCACAAAAACTGAGCTCAGTAAGACCAAAGGCCCGTCCACATCACGTCTGCTGCCGGGAGAGCTGGGCCACCCATTTCCTGTGTCGTGAGCACCAAGACGGAAGGCAGGAGAGGGAGAGGGTGTGTGGGGGTCAGGAGGGAGATCTGCAGACGAAGTGGCACAGACTCGAGGTGCTGTGGCAGCCCCCAAACAGTCGGGAGAGGGGTGGGGAGGGCTGTGCTGGGTTAACACGACTGGCTTGGTGTGAGATGGGCACATGGGGGAGGGTTACTTGACACAGGACGCCTGTTTCGAAGCCAGGGCCCCGCCACCTCCCATGGCTTTGAGCCAGCAGCCCATGCCCAGCAAGGCCCAGGCCGAGCCCCTAAGGAGCCTGGCACCTACTTGATGTGCTTGGCGCTCTTGTAGTGGATGAAGATGACGATGGGGTAGATGTGCATGTGGTGCAGTCGCTCGATGGCGTGGGGGGCGACGTCCAGGAGACAGTGCCGGTTCTGCAGGGAGGGAGACGGTGAACACCCGGGCAGAGGCAGAGCTGGGCCTCAGGAACCCAGCCTTTTTCTGCCACGGAGGGGCCCCACCCCTCACCTGACACTGCCCGGCCTTGCCCCATAAGTGAATACATAAGGTGCTACTGATGAACAAGACAGCAAAACCATTCTGACATGAAGAGGGCATGTGACACACGGTGGGGAAACCTCATCCAGGGAAAACTCTCCCCACAAGGCTGTCAGCTTTGATGATGGTCAAGGTTGGGAATGGGGGCTGTGTGGGGTCTGGACAACCCAACTCCAAACCTCTTTCCTGCCTTTACCCAGATACAGGAACTTTCTAAAGCGCCACCCCACCTGGCCTCAGAAACCTTACCCAGAAAGCCAATGGGTACCTTTTCTGTGATCTCCTTTATGGAAGCCACAGTGGTCACGTCAAAGTGGCCACTCCTCCGCTTGTAATCGACAAACAGGCAGTCTTTGACGCCCCGCTCGATGGCCTGCTGGGAGGCCTTCATCACCTCTGCAAAGCACAGGCACAGGAATCAGCAGGTCTGGCACTGTGAGCCATCACTGCACGGGCAGGGGAAAAAACACTGTGCAGAAACCCAGCCCTGCCATCCTCACTCCCAGAGAAAGAACCAGAGGCTAAACGCTGATGCGACCCCAGTCAGAAGGACTCTGCAAACACTGTGAGATCCATCCCTGGGAAGCAGGTGAACACAAACACAGGGACAGATGCAGCCCAGCAGGCCCGAGGGCTTCCCTTACCAAGGGGGCATCTGCAGAACTTGCCGGGTGCCTCGTTGACCAGCATCTCCTTCACCACATCCAGGAAAGGCCCCAGGATCAGGACGGGCCTCAGGGAGGTGCAGTCCACCTTCTGGACCCGTTGATAGGCCAGGCTCACTGAATCTGAGGGGGAGAGGGCAGCAGGGGATGGGCACCCACCCAGGGCAGGGGGGGGCTGGGAGGGGCTGCGGACCCCCTGCTCCCCTGGCCTGGCTTACCCCAGGCAGACCTATCTCCTGCACTCCACAGACCCAGAGCCAGGTACCCAGCTCACCCTGGTCTGCCTGGGGCTCGCCCAGTTTTAGCACTGAGAGTCCCACACCCCAGGCACACCAGGGCAGGGCCACTGCACAGTGTCCCCACTCCATGGACACCCAAGGTGTTGCAGCACTTTATTCTGCTCAAACTCTCCGATGTGTGTTCAATGCGTGGTCCCCTGACTCCTACTAGACATTCTGTTCTCTACAGGTGCCACCTCCCCTGCGGGGGGTGGGTCGTGTGACCCAGACCCGCCCCATGCAGTGAGCAAACTATCCCCCTCCCCATGAGCTGAAATGGACAGGACGAGGGGCAGTGACCCAGCCCTGATCCTGCAGATGACGACAACCCTCAGGAAATGATAGAGCCACGAGACAAAAGGGACCTGGCTCCCTGATGGTCCCCAGAACAGAGCTGCCTCCAAGGGACTACCCACCAATCCAGACTTTTACGTGGCAGAAAAAGAAGCTTCTTATCATGCTTCAGCCATTGTTATTTAGTCTCAGTTATAGCACCCAAACCAATATCCTAGTTGATACATGTAGTTAAGCCTCCCCTTCCACAAAATGAATAAAAAATCCTCGCAGAAAGAGATAGCCTAAAACCAGCAGGCAAATATCTTCCTGACACCTCCCAGGTACCAATCACTGTGCTGGCATCTCAGAAACACTTTTTAAAACTTGTAAACACTTTTAAAAGAATAGAAAACACAGACCCAGGGCAAAGAGCTTCTTCCAAGAAGAGATAAAAACACTCCATCTTTTAAAACTTTGAACATGACAGGTAAGCCAGGCATCCTCTCCGACCCGTCTTCTCCAGTCTTGGTCCCTGGCAACTTCCTCTCAACTAGCATCATAGTTGGTTATGAGGATTTAAAGCATATCCCATGGACAGAGGAGCCTAGCGGGCTACAGTCCATAGGGTCACAGAGTCAGACATGACTATACTATATCCTTCCAGAGGTCAGTCTTCTATGTTGACTTTTACGTGCTCAGAAAACCTAGAAAATGTGTATGTCCAACAAAAATGACCTACAATAAATATTCTGCAACTCCCTCTTTCACTCAGTCTTATGTTTCTGTTGAAAGCATCCCTGTTGATTCACACTGATCCCCTTTTATCCTTTGGAACATCCTAAAACACGGATGCACTGCACCTATCCATCTCTCTGCGTATGGACATTAAGACCATGTCTTCAACTCAACAGAATCTCGTCTTCTCCCCTAATGACTATTAACATTCCACACTGAGGGGCACCAATTTAGCAGTTTCCTGATCCTCTCAGAACAGTCTGCTTTGTCAGAAGTCCTCACAATAACAGAATCATAGAGGCTACAGAGCCTCTCACAAGCATGATATCCAACCAGAGTCAGAGGCCCACAGAAAATAAACTCCCTGGGAAGGGTAAATATACAAACATACAATCTGGAAGCAACCTAATGGAGGTATGTAGACTCCTTTTAAAACTGGTACAGATATTAAAATCAAAAGCATAAAAGTAATTATATACCAAATATTCACATAATATAAAAGGAGGTAATTGGTGTCATCCATAACATAAGGGGTGGGGGGAACAGAGAGATGTAGCTTTTATATAAGATTGAAATTAAGCTATCATCAGTTTAAAATGATATCGCAGTCCTGTGCTGATACTCTATCATCTGTTTCTCCCTTCAGTCTCATCAGTCTTTACTGCGATATCCCGGTTTCAGCGATGGATGGTACCACCAGAGCTGTGCTATGCTCAGTCACTTCAGTCGTGTCCGACTCTCCGTCACCCTGTGGACTGCAGCCCACCAGGCTCCTCTGTCCATGGGATTCTCTAGGTAAGAATACTGGAGTGGCCTGCCGTGCCCTCCTCCGGGGGATCTTCCTGACCCAGAAATTGAACCCTCGTCTCTAATGTCTCCTGCACTGGCAGGAGGATTCTTTGCCACGAGCACCACCTGGGAAACCCAGCACAATCAGACAGAAAATCAATCAGGAAACAGCACTTGAACAACATTATAAACCAATGGACCTAACAGACTCCCCGCTAGAGCCTCCAAGGAAGTATGGACCAGCCAACACCTTGATTTTGGCCCCACAGTACTGATTTTGGACTTCTGGCTTTCAGAACTGTGAGAGAATAAATGTATACTGTGCTGACCACAAAGCTTGTAACATATGTTGCAAAAGCCCCAGGAAATGATACGCAGTGAAAGCTAGAGGACAATGAATAATATCTTTAAAATGCATAAATAAAATATTGACCCAACTATAGTATATCTATATCCAGGGAAAATCTGAAAAATCATGGGAAAATTGGCAAACAGAAACTGCGACTGTCACCAGCAAACCTGCATCATAAGAAATGCTGAAGATCAAAACAAGAAAATGGTAATTACATGAGGTAAGGGCACAGTCCATGGGGCCGCAAAGAGTCAGACATAAGTGAGCAGCTGAGCGCACGCACACACACACACACACAAAGGGTGTGTTAACTATAGCTAACCTTATTGTGGTTAATCTTTCGCAACTCATATACATATCAAATTATCATTTTGTACACCTTAAACTTACACGATAATATATGTCAGTTATATCTCAAGTTGGAAAAAAAGAAATGCGGAAGGGAGTATACAGCAGAAAGAAAAAATCAGAGGAAAAGAGGATGACAGGAAGGAATGAAGAATAATGGAAAGGATAAATATAAGTGAGTGACTGGTGTGTAAATCAATAACACTGCTGGATTTAAAAATACATATAAAATGAAAATGATAATCAAGCAAAAAGTAGGGAAGAGGTAAGGAAGTCACGGTGTTCTGATGTTTTAGAATTATTGGGGAAGTGGTCAAAGTCATGATTCATGTTAGTAGTAAGTCAGATATACATTGTGAGGGCTGTTGTAATCACCAGCCCCAAAAGAATAAAACAAAATGAATAAAAACTAAGAGACTGAGGAGGAGGCAGGAAAATAAAAATGCTTGATTAATCCCAAAAAAAGTCAGAAAAGAAAGGGAACATAAAATAGGCAGGATAAGAGAAAACAAATAGTAAGATGGTAAATGTATCAGTGATAATTTAATCAGTAATTAAATACTCTGATTAAAGGATAAAAACTGTCACTGATGTGTTCAAACTTGAAAACATCTCAGGCTGTACACTTTTCTATAGATAAATTTGCACTTTTCTATACACATGTCTCAATAAAATGAAAAAAGATGAAGTGTCACAGTGAGTTAAAAAAAACCCTCCATGCTGTTTACAGAACCACGTAAATAGGAAGCTGTAAAAAAGTATGAAACGGTGGAGAAAGATGAACTACGCAAACCCTTAACCAGTAGAAAACTGGTGTGATAATTATACTTAAACAAAATAGACTTTTAAGGCCAGAAACATTACTAGAGATAAAACATTTTATAATGATAAAAGGGTCAATTTAACAGTAAGATATAACTATTTAAAGACAACTTCAAAATATGTGTGTGCACACTAAGTCGCTTCAGTCTCGTCTGACTTTTTTGTGACCCCGTGGACTGTAGCCTGCCAGGGTACTTGGTCCATGGATTTTTCCAGGCAAGAATACTGGAGTGGGTTGCCATACCCTTCTCCTGGGGATCTTCCAGACCCAGGAATTAAACTGCGTCTCTTATCTCCCCTGCGTTGGCAGGCGGGTTCTTTACCACCAGCGCCACCTGGGAGCACCCCCATGACTAGACAAATGGCTATTTTCCAAAGACATCCACTGGATATAT